TGTTTTAACCCCTCCCTCCAGAGTTAGTAGCTTGACTAGCAACGTGGTAAGCTGAAGCCAACGGATTGAAGGCTCAAGATACGAGGTGGTTTATTTTAATTAGAAATTTACAGTTTTTAAATTCTAAAGTTGTACTGTATATTAGTATATGATTTGTATTGATCAGCATTGTCCCTGAGATATGTAAAGCTTAAATTTATGGACTGTTTTAATATTTTTTGTAAAAGAAAGTCTCCGTAGCAAACTATCTTGATATTTATGTATTTATTTTTGTGATTTTCGTTAAACAGTCCAGTTTCATTAAGTTAATTTTTAAATTAAATTCCAATAATCATGGTCCCATCTTTGGGGTCGTACATAAGATCAAGTACAAGACTTGACCTTAATTTGATGAGGTAAGTGGAAGTAATAATGAGATGCTTTCTTCTCTCTCTTCTCCTCATTTGGGTGCCAATACTAGGGGTTCCTTAACCCAAATTTTATTTAATTAAGTAGCTTGAGAAGCTAGCTAATTAGAGATTAAGAGTTAAGAGAAAATTAGTTACAAGTCTATAAATAAGAACCACTTATTGCAAGTACCCATTTTTTCCATTTTGCTCTCTTTTCTCTCCACCAAAACCAGCCCCCTCTAGCTCTTTCTCTCAAAAAACTTCTTTCATTCCCCTAATCACAAATCACTTGCCAAATCTTGAAGAAAAAGAGGATATCTAGGAGGAGTCTTTCAAGAGTGTCTTTAAGGGTATTTCCTTAACCTTTCTCTTCTATTTTTAAGCAAGATCAAGTTTATGTTTTTCTTAGTTAGTTTGTGATTTTGTGAGGAATATGGCATGTGATAAGTTTTGTGTGGTGGCTATAAGTTTGATACTGAGTGTTTAAGCTTTTTGAATGTTAAGCAAAGTTTAGTACAAGTTTTTGCATGGTTTATGTTTGAGGAAAAAATTTTCCTGCTTACTTTGAACCCAAAAACGGACCCCTTAGAGTTTTGATTTAACACATTCCGAACGGGAATGCTCACAAAATTTTTCCTATAACCTTAATGGTTTTTAAATAAGCTTCCGAACAGGAATTGTAAAAGCCCGATGCACTAGGCCCTTAGTGTTACAACATTAGATACGAGCCCAACACCCGTTAAGTACGATGATATAGTATTTGGAACGCCTTAAGAACGCTTCTAAGCCAAATGGGCCTAAACACAATTACGAGCCTAATAAGTGTAATAAGGTAAAGTTTATCTAAAACTTTGATTATGGATAAAAAGTTAACTAAATTATTTAGACTTAGTATATGAATAAGATAATTAATTAATTATTAAATTGATGAATTATCAATCTTAGCACATATAAGTAAAGGCAATTAAGGAAAACCAAATTATGAGGATTTAATTAATCCTTAGCATGTATGTTTTAATAGATTATGTATGTACGTTATTGAAGACCGAGGTTGTAGTTTTACAATCTTAGTCTAGAGAATTTTAAGATTTAAAATGTTGCAGCAGTTTGGGCAACAAATATATGAAATTTCAAATAAGAAAATTATAAGAAACAAGAAATGATTATTTTGTTTTAGCATATAGTTAAGTATGGCCACATAAGTAGGGTCGTTACAGTTATAATGCATGAAGCATGCATTTCATTCTTAAACATTTTAGTTATCGACTCTCCTCATAGTAAACCTTGAAATAGAAATTTCCAAAAATACTTTATTAGTATGCATTCAAAGTGAAGGTTTTACATTCAAACACTTACTATGTCCTGAGAAACCAGGCCAACATGTCTCCTCAAACTCTGCAACCGGATGCTCTGAATATTATGGTTATCAATAAGTATATAACCTATTACCATGAGAAAACACAAACGAACCTCAACAAAATAATAAGGGAGATTCAATTTCCATTGCACAATAAGACGAAGGTTATAGGATACCATTAGGCTTTAGCTCTTAACATTAGGAGGTAAGCTAGCGAATAGCCTTTAGGTATTAAAAAATGAACGAGAAAAGAGAATATGGCAGGCGATTATGTTATTATGTCATCAAATAACTTACCAGATAAAGGATCATAAAGCCGAAGCAGGAGCTTTGCAAGGGTTGTCTTTCCTCCACCAGAGGGCCCAACAAGAGCAACTGTTTCTCCGGCCTTGATATGCAGGTTAAGCCCATTCAAGACAAGAGGCAAATTGTCCCCATATTTAAATGAAATATCACAAAATTGCACCTCTCCTCTAACATGGTTCACGTGAAATGCATTTGGTTTCTCCATTACCTGTGTTCAAGAATAAAAGGACAAGTGATCGAAGCGATGTGCATATTTCCGGCGGAAATAAAAGATTTCCCTGGTATATACTGCTATACGAAATTTACAATCTTAGAAGAAACTGCTTTAACATCCTAAAGGAATGGATACTGCACAAAATGCATTTAACGCACAGGCCTCAGTAAAATGTAAATAAGGAGTTTGGTGCGACATTCATAATTTTTTAGATTAAATCATAACCATCATATTTCCTTTCTTATTGTGTAGTTCTGCCTAAAGATAAGTGTTCTCTCAGTGTTACCTACGCCAAAATAAATTAAATATTATATATATATATATATATACACACACACACACATATATACATGTAAAGATTACCTTTGCTTTGAACTGAATAAGATCAAACAAGCGCACAATAGCTGGTTCTCCTTGTTTGAACTCATTGTATGCTTTTCCAATGCCCTGCGTAATTCTTTAGATTCAGAATGAAAACTTAATACAGTTCCTCAGTGGCTGAACCATTGTAGCAATACATAATATAGTTAGCAAGACAACTTTGAAAAATACAACAAAAGTACTTAATTAAACTACCACATCATATGAACAGGAAAAAGAATGAACTAAACTACTTGTATTTATTGATTCTCAAAGAAAGGAAAAGAGGAATTGCACAAGGAATCTTAAGAATATTAGAGAAACCAGGAGAAAGAAAAATAGTGAACAATTAAAAGTTCTTATAAGGACTTAATATTACCTGAATTGGCTCAATTAGAAAAACCAACGATGTTATGAATGAAATCATGCCACGGCCATCAAAAGAACCTCTTGAAATTGCCAGTGAACCAACACAAAATAGAAACAAAGCCCCAAAATACATAATTTGTACGATCTGGGGAATAAGCACCTTCATTTTCTTCTTCCTTAAACGTTCAGAGAGGTCAGTACGTGCTAGCTTCTCAAACCTAGCATTCTCGATCCCCTCTCCATAATTTGCTTTCAGAAAAAGAAATGCCGGGAAAATCTAGGAAAAGGGTAACCACAAGACCATAAAGACAAATAATCACCACTTCTAATAGTTAAAAGAAATCGAAAACCTGAGCCAGACAAAACTAAGCATACCCAAATAACGATATATAAAAGTTGAGGCCTCAACGAAGAAGAAATACCTCATTTAGATAAGCTGAGAGAGCTGCAACAGAAAGATTTGCCTGATTAGAAATCTTACGAAGTTCCTCACCAAGATAGGCAATAACAAGTGCCATACAAGGTATCACCTATCACAGAAGAAAGCAGAATAATAAGCCCAAAAGAAAAGAGAGAGAGAAAGAGAGAGAAACTAGTGCAAAACGCTCATTCTCACCATTGCTGATATGAGAGATAGAACAGGGCTTATAGCCAACATCTGAGCCACCATTGCTGATAACTGCAAAGTACCGGGTACAATAGTCTGCCCTAGAATCCAACACATAATATAATAGTATCAGTGGGGGAAAAAAAAAAAGAGCACGAACACAGAACTTGGACAAAGCAAATTCTAACAAGTTTCCTTCAGAATTCAACAGTCTAAGTATCAGAAAAACTGAGCATAAGAATCAAGAAAATGCATAGAATAAATTCTAACAATACTGTAAAAGAAAAACAGAGCATTAACATCAAAGGAAACGTAAAACACAATTCTAACAAGTAACTATCTTTTTTTTGCTTTCTTTTCCTTGGGGGGGACAGTCTAAGTATCAGAAAAACTGAGCATAAGAATCAAGAAAATGCATAGAATAAATTCTAACAATACTGTAAAAGAAAAACAGAGCATTAACATCAAAGGAAACGTAAAACACAATTCTAACAAGTAACTATCTTTTTTTTGCTTTCTTTTCCTTGGGGGGGGGGGGGGGGGGTGCGGGGCA